GGGTTTCAATTTGGCACTTCCAGAGCTCAAAGTCTGCCTCCTACCGATGTGTCATTGCATGCATCTATCATCGATCGACGATGCATTATTCAAGATGAGAACCAGGGCAGGAGATGCTGAATTGTAGTCCCATTCAACAACAAACAGGCACTATATCTTGGACCAAATGACAAGCATATAAACGACAAGAGGATTACTTGAAGTGGGTATTTTCCGCTTGGAGGAATACTGGTGTTCAAGCGTAGGGAAGCTTTCCGGAATCTTGTACAAATTGTTTGATCAGAACTTAAAAATTGAGGCAGTCATTGAGCACTGTCAATTCAAAAGTCCGACATGGTAGAAAAATCAATGTCCAAAAATTCAGGGAAAAAAATCATTAATGCTTTGGTAAAAAATGGAAGAACGCGCTATCTGATATAAAGGTGCAGGGAGAATCTTGGAATCCACACTTGCTTCAAGTGAATATGATATTACAGACTCTTTTTTTCATTTTATCAGCAATCAGTTGAGCTTCATCGACAAAAGTACAAATGCAAAAATAGCATTAGTCTGCAGTGAGAATGACCCTAAGATATTTCGAAAAATTTAGACATTCAACTTGATTGCATTGTCAGGAAAATTCTGACAATAAAAACATAGATTATGAATAATGTGTTCTCATACATCTGTCACATTTCCTGCCCATTGTGCAGGAATAGACAGAAATAACATTTCGGAGGAACTTACAAGGATGCTGTGCAAAGACGTTAGCTACAGTTTTGTCGATTGTCGTATCGTTTACACATTTGAATAAGCATGATGGGAAATGAAACTTAGATTGCCAGTGCAGACGATGAAAACCGAGGAGATAATTCGGCGCTTTACAGAACCCGAAAATAGATTTATGTCCGGACTTATGAAATCCGAGTGCCAAAAATTGCTATCTGCAGGGGAAGTAACTTTCGGTAATTAGAGCCGGTTTATTTCAACCGTCCACCTTTCTTTTTCGGGTTTTGAATCGGCCACCGAACAGTTGTTTAAATAAGTTATTAAAGAAATTTCAAAAGCCTTTCAGTTAGACTGAATGACGCTTCATGAAGTTTTTCCCAAATCATCCCACGTTTATTTAAAATAACATGTAATCAATCAATCAATCACTTCATGAAAATATCGCGAATCTGGGTTTTGATATCACTGACTTTAAGTATCTAAACGTAACATCCATATTCATGTTCTTTTGGAGTAGTTAATTCATAAATTGCAGATAATCGAGCATCGAGCACTGTTCTTTTACAGCACTCTACCTACTCAACTGTTTGCTATTGCTCGATTGATTGCTTCGGTAGTTTAGCAAAACTTTCGTGAAAAGGTTTTACGCATTAAACATAAGGCACAGAGGTCTAGACTTTTTATAGTTTTTTCGATCACTCATCTTAGAGCTGCGTTGTAAGGCAAAATTGAATGAATGCATAAACGAATAAACGAGTCAAGCCGTGAAAGAAGGAATGAATCGATAAATCAGTCAGAAAGGTGTTTCAGAAAGTCACAAACGGAGAGCAAGACTTCTTCATATTTAAAGTGAGACTTGCACGGCGATATTTTCATGCGAGTCAAATGGACGGTGTAATTTAGCGAATCCGTGATCTCCATAGAATGTAAATTAAGATTTTACGCACCATTTTCGCGCTTGTGACTTTTCAAACCAGATTGTCATCTCCCGTATGAAAAACTCATGTACTAGTTTAACTGTTAAACAATGCACTGTTGAATTGACAAGTTAATATAAGAGTGAATATACTAACAAATTATTGTATGCGTTATTCTTCGAATGCCGTTTTTCGAAGCGCGCCAAGCTAATAAATCGCCTCACGTTACTCAATGCGACACGCCGTACATCGTTTGCATTGAGACAGAGTGAGAGATTAATTCTAGTATCATTATTATCTTACCTGAGTACCGTGCCGCAAATTGCTGATAAGTAAGCATTAATCGTTATAAACTTCAACGAAATTACACCGGATATAAATTTGATTAAAATAATCGAAATTTTTTGGATTGAGCTCGATTTATCGCTTCAGAATATTATATAACAAGCAGTATGGTAATGCGGTTGTGTACTGAGGAATGGTGTAAATTAGCACAGGAAGGATAAACGAATTGATAAATTACATCAGTTATATCTCGGAACTTCAGGATCTATTTTATTATAATTTTCTTGCCGTAAGCTACGTAAAAAATTATGAAGATCCGCACAAATAACTTAGGTAGTTTCTTGAAAATCTTTGAAGAAGGTGCATACTATCTGATATACGAAAATTTATCTCGAATCCTTTTTAAACGCGTATATTTCAAAAAATGCAGTGCGTGTATACAGCTAATGAGATTCGAACGCACTTCCTAGTTTCGCGAGAACTTCTGAGAGTGCCATTAGGTGTGTTTGGCTGGCACGCATTGGGTAGACAGCAATAAAATCAGTTTCTTTCAGTGAAATATAACATTTTCCACGCTTTCGTTTTATGAGATAAAAAAGACGTAAAATAGTTATATGTTTATTATAAGATCGGCATTTACTGGAATAAATATTTGCGCAGAACTAATGCCCTGTCTCAAATTAATTTCTTTCTGTCGAAAAGCAGCGAAGGCCGGAGGTTCGGGACGAGTGTGCACTGTTCACAGATTATGTTTAGGTCACAAAGTAAAAACGGAAGATAGGTTCAAAGCCCTCGTTACGAACTGTGACTTATTAATTATTTTTACATTTGTCACATCATTGCTTTAAGTCACTGATGTCGTTATCTCGTTATTTATGTAAGATGTAATAGACCATATCTGAAATAAGGTTAATTATACTGAAAATGTACAGTACTACTAATTGTGTGAGAAACACAATGGTCGAACCAGAAATTTTTTATTGAGAAAGCATAGAGACAGCGACAAAAACTGTCCTTTTGCATGCCACAGTTTGCAGCATTACACATAGCAACGGTTAGTAACCGCGTACACTGGACCATTAAATTGATTTTCAATTTTGTAAAATCTCAAAGTCTTCTCCGCAATGATCAGTTATCAAGTATTTTTGATCTGTGTAAAGGTTGAATAATTTGATGACAGCATTCGCATGCAGGCATTCGTTCACTTGGTTTTGTTTCCTGTGACAGTTTCTTTGATTCCTTTGGAAGTGGCGGGCCTTTTGATAGTCATGATGATGGCATGTGGTTCCGACGAAACTTCTGAGGTTACTCGCTTCTGGTCATTTTTCAGGAATCGTCAATCAACCCGCGATGACTCCACAGGCAAACGCATACCGGCATGATTGTCTTTGCGGTAGGCCCTTCGTCACTTGTATTTTATGCGCAAACAAAGGAAAAGAACTATAGTTGCCCTGTGAATTCTTTATTGTAATCATAAACCAGTCTACAATAGTGATGGATACTTATTATGATACTGCAGAACTGGGCAATTCTTTCAAATATTTGTGTCTGCCTTTAAATAACGGTAATAACGCGGGCCTCAGTATTCATACTTGAAAATTTGCTAATGTTACGTAAAACAAAGTCAGCAGGCATTACGGATCACAAGCACGCAGCAATGAAGTTCTGCCATTTTCAATTCAAAAAGTAGGTGATAGGCCAAACAATTTTCACCGTGAATTCCACGATAATTATTACTGATGATGATCTTAACTTTATCCGTCCTTGCATCTGGCCATTGTTTTCTGTTTCTAAACAGAACTGCGTCAAAATGCATAAAATTTTTCGTCCGCGGTTATCAGTGCCTCTCTGACTACGAACACTGTCTGCTTTCGCCGAAGGAGACATGAAGGTTTGAATATGGAGACAAAAAGTTACATTGAAAAAAACTTCTTTTATTTTCATAGCAACAGAAACAACCATCAGCGTGGAAAAACAGATACAAACAATACGAACAACGTAAAACCAGAAAGGTAACAACAAATCAAATACTAAGTAACATCACCGAGAAAACTCTATCACAAGCAACATACCATTGCCATAAGCAAACGATCAGGATATGTCGAAACAGCTGCTCATCACTGTCACTAAAAGAGTGATCATAATCCACTGATCTTGTGCAGAGCATGATACTTGTTTGAACCCTTGGTATTTTCAGACGGCATATCCATATAAACAGTGTCACTTGGAAAAGCTTAAAAAAGAATCACGGTAAGCACTGATAAATAAGTAAAACAACATAAAGATGAAAACGAGAATATATATTTATATGGTTCTCTCGATGACAGAAAACTGGCGCTATATACGTACATACATACATGCATATACTGTAACCTTGGAAATGCGATTTTTACTCAATAGATTCTTTTGCAATCTTAATCTAGAGTAACCATAATATTGTGTCATAATATTATTTTACACTGCCATAATTTTGAAAGGGTGAGATTTGAAGAACAGATGGTTCCTTCTTGGTCACGCTGTTATTGTCCAAACGGCGAGTCACGCGTAAAATATCGCGAGCAGAACAGAAGACCTATATTTGACGCTGAGTGAGATAGAAAAAAAGTATTGGAGCCAAGAGCATGCAGTCACCGTTTTCTACAAGTTTATCCTTGTTCATTATTCTAAACCTTCAAACTAGATTTTAATAGCTAATTTTAATTTAATTTCTTCAGACTAGACACATAATAACTTTTAACCATAAAATGGCTTTAGTTTTGATACACTTAACAACGTTGGCTATAGGCACCTACCGAAAACAGTATAACAATGGAACACATAATACACGGTACCTAGATAATCAGGCTTTGCCTCAGCGCGACAGATGAGATAGAGTGGACAACGTTCCCAACAACAGCAGGTAATCAAGACAACAATGAGCAGCGTGGCAAGCAAAACGACGGTGACCGCAATCCCGACACCTAGCCTAAATGGAGTACGTCAGTGAAATGTTGAACAGCAATATCACAACAACTACGGCACATACGACTGATCGATCTCGAAGAACTGACGTTTTCTAGCAGCACAGCAGCGGTACTGTAGCGGCTCACAGCACTGCGTCAGCGAATTTGGATCGTCCGACGTGGGACAAGAGTACGGAGGTATATACAGGTTTCGTACGTCTGATTCGTTGACAGCAACTTGAACGGAATAGCCACCGCATCGGGTACCTAAGTCAATAACATGACGATTTTTTATGAAAAAAGTAAATAAATCGAAAATAAGCTAAAAACTGAGCGATTTTATGTTCCGCATGCATATACGATGAACGAGGTTAAAGAGAAAAGAATAACTCCCGAAAAAAACTCTAACCACATATGTACCAATTTATAAAATTAATTTTGTGGAATTAATACTCTAAACAATCTTTATTTTGATTTTAACGTACTTCAAATCAAAGTTGGCTTGGATTCGCGATCAGAACATTGAAAACTCGCAAAACGGTCCCTCACAGCAAAGTGCAAAGTCATGTGGAAGTGATTAAGAGACAGATCAAAACGTTGATATACTACGGTTGAGCTATGACATGCGTTTATGTACCTTTCGAAGTTCCAAGAAGGTATTGATAACAGACAGTCAGCTGTTTGCCTAGAATGGCAACAACATCAGCCGTTATTTTTGAGGTCGCCAGGATGATTTTTAAGCCAATCATGCGCATTTTACTTATCAGTGACAATTCTGTCCTGTGCACTGAAATCGTCCATTAGTATGCTTGATTACGTGTCGCCACTTTGGACACAAAGGAAAGAAGTCATATTGTCCCTCCGAACAGCGTGCATATACTTGTAACAATTGTCAAGTTTTAGCCTACAGAGGTTTAAAATTTCAGAGGCCCGGCGCTTCGTTGACGAGAGTCAAAATATGTCCAATAGCTGCCTTGCGGTCTCAACAAGAACTAGCTCTTGTTCTCTCCCTCTGAGTAAGTAGATGTTCCAATTTCCGGTCGTGAGTTCCCATTGTCAGTTTCGTTCCCGGTGAACATTATCTGATGCGCCACAACGGTAGTGCGCTGTCTGATCCATTCAGGACGAGTAGGGACCCTAGTGCTAACTGGTATCCTCGCCATCATCGCGTAAATCTTTGGCAGCAGCTGGCGTGCTGCTACACCCTCAGCAGCCGACCACCAGCGCGAAGCAACTCCTGAAAGCCTGCATCAACTAGTCAACAGCCTGTGCTGTGGGGTGTTGGTTAACTCGGAAGAAGACCGTCAATACCATCAGGGACAGGTGGCTAAGTTTCACGACAGACCGTGACGGTTCCAAGCAAAAAAAGTTGCCTACTTGTAGCACCAATCCTTTCATGCAGCTTATGGTGCGGCGCTAATCTCCGCTTTTGCGCAACTAGCCAGGAGTGCCGAGTTATTGTTTCTTGAATGAAGTCCCTACAGATGAGTGACTAGCCTAACGTGAGGTTCGCTATTTCCTTTCCAAGAAGTGATATACCGATTTATCTGCTCGGGAAGAAGAAACGCGTGTCGTATGACAAAAATTCAAACCCGGGACCTGTCGGTTTACATTGTTCGGGTCTGACGCTCTTCCGACGAACAACCCGGTCTAATACGAAAAAGTCGGCACTTCTGATAGGTACACCATCACATGAAAACTTGATTTAGCGTAATAAATCGAAAGTACCGTATTTTCAAAGCTGGTAATGGATTAAACTGAAATTCGCTTAAACCGAATGTTCTGAATATTTATTCACAGTACGACAGACAAGAACAAGCGTAGTAGTTGTCCATAAATTGCCAGTGTCAATTGCTCAGCATTAATTAGACTCACTTCGGCAGTAAGCGTTGGAGTCAAGAATCTCTCTAGCAATTACCACAAATGTTCGAGTACATCAAGAAAAAACAGAGGCTGTCTTCCACCAGTTGTTTGTAACGTCACCCGGAGAAAGTAGACGAATATAGAACCTGGCCTACATTACATGCTACGTCGAGCTAAATACCTCATTACAGCAGACATGCAGAAATTCTTGCTTTTTTACGAGGCTGTCATTCTTCTGCTGGCAGCATGAATACCTCTGTCAGCGCGACGCGACTTCTGCCACCACTTTCCAGATTGATGTGATTGGTCAAGTCAAATGAGGTTGTAAACATGTGCAACTAATATTGCAATTAGCATAAACGCATCTTTACAAATCACTAAATATAATATCATGAAATAAAAATCCAGGAAAAACATGTACATCTGCTAAATTCATCAGGTATATGGGGATACTGCGTACAAGCAGTTGCTGTTGTATCCTTGGCTCTCTCAATCTCGAAGCTCCAGAAAGGAACGTTAAAACTGACCATCGTTTAACGATGTTCAACAAAGAACACCGACGTCTATCTCCTCCAGACAAAATTTTCCTTTGCCTATTCAAAACTTGAAGCTGAGTAAAATGGATTAGCAGCCGAGGCATGCCAACGCAATCGGTACCACAGTCTGACCGTTCGATGCCATTTCGTCCTTCGACGTCAAGACAAGCAAAGAAACTTTTTTCTCCTTTTACCCCACTGTATGGAAGATGACGCCCGGGCGCTGTACAATAAGTTCCCTGGATAAAAATAAATAAATAAAAATAGATTTTTGTACACTCCTCAGTCCCTTCGATGCGGTATCAGTTTTAGCGAAATTTCCAAACCGTCTTTACGTTCTGAACTCGTTTCGTAAGGCGGCTATCATCCATTTGTTGGCAACGACTCCACCATCATAAACGCCTTGTTAACAGTTTCGTTTGATATTTAAATTTCCCTCTTAAAACATCATTTGACACCAACTCGTACTACATCACTCATAAAATTGATCTCTACATATTCATTTCTGCAGCTTCCAGTTTTCTTGCTACAGCGAAGTCAACAGCTGCCTTTTCCAAGCCAAACAGCCAGATGGCTTAGAAATCAAGCCCCATATTCCATAGCTTTGTACTATTGCCGACATCATTATCCTCATCCTTCCAGAAAATCGGTAACATTTTGTTCGCTGCCAAAGTCAACGTAGAGCATCTGTTAAGCAGGTTTGTCATTCGTCGTTCTGCAGCCAACGTTTACTCGAAACATACAGGTTTAGACTTTCGAAAGTTTCGCTGACAACGGTCAAACCAGAGAGTCATCGATGTGCGCTCTGGCAACTGCTATCTATCCACTTCGCTTTCTTTCAGTTAAACGACAGCACGAAGAGACAACCAACTGGAATTCGATAGATGG